TTCTCTGGTACCCACCCTTCCTAAGGTTTCTTATTTGTCGAACAAAAGTTATTCTCTGTTCTTAGTCATTTTCCTCCCCATTAATATCAATTTTTGTAGTTATAATATATTTAATTTAATTGATCAAAAAATTATTCTCTTTTCTCTCTTTTCCTCCATTTTCTTCAAACTAAAATGCTATTAAAATTTTTAATATAAAAATTCAAATTCTCAATTATTAGAACATCTTTTAAGACAAAACTCTGAAAAAGAGATTTTGAAGGGTAAATAAGTATTGTTTTGAAAGTAAAATAATGATTCCAATCTTAATTTAATATTTTAAAAAATAATTTTTTTAAATGTAATAAATAAATTTTTAAAAAATATAACCTTAAGATCATTAAAAACTAGGCTGAAACACCCTAAATGTAAATTTTTAAAAAAAAATCTCTTAAAAGACTCATCATAAAAGGTATGGTCATTTTAAAACTTAAGTTCTATTCTCACTTGTGGCGGTTAATTAGAATCTATATATATAGAAAGAAACATCTATAGTATTATAGAGCCCAATTTTAATGCTAAAAGACTTCCTTACTCATCTGCTGAGTTGAGGGTTTAAAACTTGTGATTCTCTCTCTCTCTTCATCCATAGGGTTCAACCACTTAATTAATTTGCCCATAAAAAAACATACAAGTAATCCGTATGAGACATATCTTTATGTTGATAAAGGTACTACAAAAAATGTACGTAGAATTAAAAACACTTAGGTTTTGTTTAGTATAATTTTTTTTTTAGGTTTTTAATTTTGATTTTCATAAATCTTATAATTATTAGAAATTAAAATTAAAAATTTGTTTAAGACAAGTTTTAGCACTAATAACAAAAAATATAAACTTGTTTAATAATAGAAAAACTATTTTTGTTCTTATTTTTCTAATAATTTAAATAATATGTTACAAAAAAACATGTGTAAATAAATAAATATTTTGTTTAGAGTTGTAAAATTTATAAAAATTAAAACTAAAAACTCCCAAACTATGAATATACTAAACAGAGTTTTAATTAACTCACTATTTTTCATTAAGAAATAAGTATTTAATTCCCAATTTTAAACAAATTACTCCATTTCTATTGTTTGTCTGAAGACTAGAGATTACCCCTTGCAAATATAATTTTAAAGAATTAAGACAAAAAAGAACAATTATATGAATTAAAATTTGATACTAATAATATAATATAAATAATATCATTTAAAATATTAAAATATAAAATTTATATTATTTAATGTTTAATTTTTTTATTTTTATTAATGTGTAATGTTATATCATAATTTATTTAATAATATCATTTATGCCACATTATTAGCCACAAAATTTTGTGCCTAACCTTTGTCCTTTGTATCACTACTTAATTTTAAAGCTTCCAAATATAGTTTTAAAGTTTTGATTGGTTGGAATGTTGGATTATTAAATGAACTAATAGCTTTGTACCAAATCCTAAGTTTGTCCGAAATTCATTGTATTTTTTCATATTTAAAAAAGTTTTTTTTTTTTTCAACTTGAGCATTGTTGTTAATTTTTTTAAAAACAGTTTGAGAAAAAAAAGTAAATAAGGATATCAACTTTAATTTTTTTTTATTTAAGGATATTAACTTTGTCATTTTTTAAATAAGGATGTCAACTCTCAAATTTTTTTATTTAAAAATTTTAATTTTCAATTTTTTTTATTTAAAAATACTAATTTTTAATTTTTTCTATTTAATGATTAATTGGATGATAATGCTAACATGACAAACAGATTTTTTAATTAAAATATTAAAAGTTCACATCTTTAAATAAAAAAATTAAAAATTAACATTTTTAAATAAAAAATAAAAAATTAATATTTTTATTTAAAAATTAACAAAATAAAAATTTTTAAATAAAAAAAATATAAAATTCACATCTTTATTTACACCCTTTCTTAGAAAAGTTTTTTTTTTTAGTGGAGGCAAAGGATTACATCAGAGGTTTGGCCCATGTAAATCCGTGAGAAAATGACTGAACTGCCATTCTCTAACCTATTACGGACTATAGTTCAATAACTGCCACCTGAAAACTGACACATAACATGCCCGTTTAAACCTTCCCTCCCCTTTTCTTTTCCCTATAAATTCAATGCCATGCTAAGCTGTTTCTGCAACAAATTTGGGTCTTCCTCGTAATCAAAGCAAAAACCTTTGCTTAAAACACAATGGGTGTCAACTCCAACAGGGTAGAGGCTTTTTCTACCCATCAAACCACTCTTACTGTCAAGGTCTCAGTTCCAATGCCTCCATCAATGGAGGTCCACACTGTTTGTTTGCCCCCTCAAACCACCACTTTCCAGAAACTTAAGCACAGGGTTTCTGAGATCTTTTTTCCTGAGGATCCTCTCCACAGATTCAAAAACCAAACTTGGTGTACAAAACTGCTTCTGGGTGTTCAGTTCTTCTTCCCCATATTTCAGTGGGGGTCTGGGTACAATCTCAGGCTTTTCAGGTCTGATCTCATCTCTGGCCTCACCATTGCTAGCCTTGCCATCCCACAGGTAATTTACACAAAACTACCCAACTATATGTTTCTATTTATATTTGCCAAAGCATCTGTGTGTTTAATAAATTACTTGGAACCAACATCCATTATTTCTGGCAACAGGCTTTTGGGCCTAATGGCAAAGACTGAAGTAGGTTGTTGGTTCTAGTCTCCCTTTGTGCTGGTTTTGTCTAGTATTTTTTGGTTTTCTTGTGATTTGTTACATTTTTGTAGTTAGTTTGTCTTTTTCTCTGTTCAAATGATGGTGGTATATTTGTACAATTCGCGACCTAGGTGTAATTTATAGTGTTTAGTGTGTTATCATGTACTTCACTCAAAAAACCCATTATTTCTGGTAATTAATCTGAATTTGGTTTCTGCACTGCAGGGAATTAGTTATGCAAAGCTTGCAAATTTGCCGCCTATAGTAGGACTCTGTTAGTATCACTGCCAGAACTACCCTGTTTCCTAATGTAATTCAATTATGAATTAATGCAACTAAAAATTATGTTCTATTAACAAGAAATTTCTTTTTATGGATTTGAATGCAGATTCGAGCTTTGTTCCACCACTGATTTATTCTGTCTTGGGGAGTTCTAGGCATCTTGCTGTGGGTCCAGTGTCTATAGCATCTTTAGTGATGGGTACAATGCTTAGTGAAAATGTTAAAGACCCAATTCTCTACCTTAAATTGGCCTTCACTGCTACCTTCTTTGCCGGTTTGTTTCAGGCATCTCTGGGTCTACTAAGGTATATGTAATACTAGAAAACGTTTTAAACTTTATTTTAGTGGAAAATTTACTAAATGAATTGGATTAAGAGAATGAAAAGACTAAACCCCTTTATTTCTTATTAATGTTTTTAATTGTTTACAGGTTAGGCTTTGTGATTGATTTTCTGTCGAAGGCAACCCTTCTTGGGTTCATGGCTGGTGCAGCAGTCATTGTGTCATTGCAACAGTTGAAGGGGTTGCTTGGAATTGTTCATTTCACTGGAAAGATGCAACTCATACCTGTAATAACATCTGTATTAGAACACAGAAATGAGGTAATCAACTTCACCAAGAGAAAGCAATATACTAATCTTGACATCTTGTAACCTTTTCAAGACAAAAACCAAGTGGAAAAAGAAACACGACAGAAAGTCAACTGCAGCATCTTTCAAAGTTATTTTCTTGTTTTTTTTTCACCATACAAAAGCTTTCCATTCATTATGGCCTCAATTTGGTGCTTTATATCTTGTCAAAAAAAGATTTGGTACTTACTAAATGCCTATGAGTTGGACCCTTCTTTTTTTTCTTTTTTTTCTTTTTTTTTGTAGCATAGATGCATTCCTTTTTTCAATATGTTTGGTTGCTATTCTTCATTTTACCTCATTGATAACAATTTATGTGCACTTGTGCAGTGGTCTTGGCAAACTATTATAATGGGATTTGGTTTCCTGGTGTTTCTTTTGACAACAAGGCATATTGTGAGTGCCTATCTTGTACATGACAAATATGATTTTTGTGAACTCTTGTTTTAGTCCTTGAAATTTTTCCGCTTGAAAAATTGTTACAGAGCATGAGAAAACCAAAGCTTTTTTGGGTGTCTGCTGCCGCCCCATTGACATCAGTCATTCTCTCAACTCTTCTTGTCTTCTGCATCAAATCAAAGGCTCATGGAATCTCAATTGTACGAACTGTTAATATATTCCACTGCTTTTGTGAATAAGTCAGAGCCAGTTGTAAAACTTATCTCTTTTGAGAAAATAGTTACAGAATCTAAACTTTCATTTTCTTCCATCCTTTTACACAGATTGGTCACTTGCCAAAGGGTTTGAATCCACCTTCCTCAAACATGCTATACTTCGATGGACCTTCTCTAGCATTAGCCATCAAGACAGGCATTGTCACCGGGATCCTATCTCTCACCGTAAGTTCTTCATAGTCACATTGATCAATGTTTCATGGAATAATCAAACTTGACTATTGCTAAATAGGGCTTGTAAGACAAGATAACTCCCAGCCTTTACTCTTTCTTAACACTTTAGTTTTCTTCTGGTGCTGTGTAGGAAGGAATTGCGGTGGGAAGGACATTTGCTGCTCTAAAGAACTATCAAGTTGATGGAAACAAAGAAATGATGGCTATAGGTTTCATGAACATGGCTGGTCCGTGCACTTCATGCTATGTTACCACAGGTGATGCTTCTCTTCATATTTATTGTATAACATATTGCGACCATTAAGATATCCAAATTCTAAGTTTCCTTCTTCTTAAACCTATTCCTTTCAGGATCATTTTCTCGGTCTGCTGTAAACTACAACGCAGGAGCACAAACAGCATTTTCAAACATAATAATGGCCTCAGCTGTGCTTGTGACTTTGCTGTTTCTGATGCCACTGTTCTACTACACCCCTAATGTCATCTTAGCAGCCATCATCATAACAGCAGTGATAGGGCTTATTGATTATCAGGCTGCATTCAGGTTGTGGAAAGTTGACAAGCTAGATTTCTTGGCTTGTTTGTGTTCCTTCTTTGGCGTTCTTTTCATCTCTGTGCCCCTAGGGCTAGCTATCGCCGTAAGCTTCATATATGATCTAAAATTGCAGTATTAGTTTTCATTATGACAATCGTTTCCACTTCGTTCTAATGCCTTGGACTGAAAATGCAGGTAGGAGTTTCAGTCCTCAAGATCCTCTTGCATGTCACCAGGCCAAACACTATGGCCTTGGGGAACATACCAGGAACACAGATATACCAAAGCCTCAGCCGATACACAAAAGCTTTGAGGGTGCCTTCGTTTCTCATCCTAGCCATTGAATCTCCTATCTACTTTGCTAATGCTACTTACATTCAAGAAAGGTTAGCCCAAGAACCCCTTATTTTCTTCCATTTCTCCTACACTTTTTATATCGTAACAGCACTCAAGCAAACTCTTGATAACAGAATATTAAGGTGGGTTCGGGAGGAAGAAGAGAGGATAAAGGCAAACAAAGAGTGCACATTGAAAAGTATAATCCTTGACATGACTGGTAACTCTCACCTTCTGTGCAGTCGTTTCCTTCTCTAAACCATGATTCCCCCACCATTCCTTTTGCGTTTTTAGCTCACAGTCTCGGAAATTTTTTCAGCTGTCACAGCCATTGACACTAGCGGCATTGAAATAATAGGTGAACTGAGGAAGATGCTGGAGAAAAGATCACTCCAGGTAAAACCTGTAACCAAAATCATTTTTAACAACGTACATTAAGCTCAAGGGTAACAATCTGATCTTGGTTCACTCTACCTCTGAAGCTTGTGTTGGTGAATCCCGTTGGAAATGTGATGGCGAAGTTGCATCAGTCCAAAATTCTGGACTCGTTCGGAATCGACGGACTCTATCTCTCAGTAGGGGAGGCAGTGGCAGCCATTTCATCTTCGTGGAAACCTCAACCATAACCTCCGGGGACAATCTGAAACCATTAACCGTTTTTGGACCTCGGCAGTCTAGCAGTAGTAGTTGAGAGTACTTTGCTTTTCTTTCTGCTTTTTGAGAGGAATCCATAGCAATGTTTCACAAGAGAATGTAACCTTGTGGTTAAGCAAGCAGCATACCACGATCCTCTGAGATAATATGCAGTAAATTTATTTCCTGTTAGTGAAGGTTGCTTGAAATTACATTTTAAGTTTTATAAAATTTCTGCACAGTAGGCTTTGCACGCCACAGCAAGAGAGCACTCGCATTTTTCTCTTTTTTTTTTTCATAACATGGATATCTAAACTTTTGAATGGACTTTTACACAAATCTCCACTAAAAGATGGTGAGCACGATTATTTGCACATAAATGGCAATAAAAGAATTCAGACCTTCATTTTCCAGCTTGTTCAGATCATTTCTTGGTACTGGAATGAGAGTTCGAAACTACTTTCATCTCATGTAGATGGTTCATCATTCCCTGCTTCAATTCTTTAAGTCACCCTACCCTTTGAAAGGGGGATCAGATGAAAAATGGTAATGACAAGGGTTGCTACCATTCTTCCTTGAACCCCTTGCTAAACATTCCTCAAGCAACATACAACAGCGGGAAATACACCATAAAATTGCAAAATAAATGCCAAATCATTCTCTAAATTCCATATACCAGTCAGATGGTGCCAAGGAATCATGCAGAAACCGAGCTTGAAACTAAAACTCAAGCTTCCGCTGGAAATAAAGTAATTCAGGAAGTTCTGCAATACATGAATTTTGAGCTTACACCCAAATTTCAAACAAATCGAATTGTGACCTAAAAGGCTCATCCAATCCAAGCAAATCAAGATGATGAATGATCATCTAATTACGTAAATCAAACTGAAATGGGGTACAAAAAACATCGTATCATTTTTCTTCAAACACCTATAGTTGTACACTCAAGAGTTTCCAAACACAAATGCACACCTAGTATCATGTGCTCTAAATTTCATCATTAAGGCACATTCCTTAACTTTAAGGTTGTTCTCTATCAGCTCCACTAGCACCAAAATATAGTTAAGGTAATTCTTCCCTATTGCAGATAAGATCGGTAATGAATGAGCTATATTTGGTAAAGCTCCTCCAAAGAAATGATGACCCAATACTTACAATCCCACCAGAAAAGTTCCTTGACTGATACTTTGATAATCAAACATCTGCACGAAATAGTCCCAAACGAAGTGAATAATAAACACACACACATAAAAGAACTTAGGCAAGAGACAAAGACAGGGATATTTAACTACAAATACTGAGTGATTGGTAAACACCAAGGCCACACACATGCACATTATATAAAGGAAAACTTAAGAAGAAAGAACAGACGGGCACATTTAACTGAAAATACTGTTGGAGACATTGCTAAATGCTAAAAGCAGGTCAAATGGGCAAACCATTTAAGTTTAGCTTTCATAGTTCAGTAACTTCTATTTTCTTACTTTAGCGGGATCTTTATTTAGTGATTTGGGGCTAAGCATTAAAAAAATTTCCACAAATCTAAATATGAAAATTTTGAGTCCCTACTCCTTCCCATCTCTCTCATCACTCACTATTTGCCCGTTTCTCTCACTTCAATTTTCACATTGTAATTACCATTTGACCTCGAAAATGGCTCAAATAGTGTGCTTTCTGTTTCAGGTCTATTTTGGTGGCATTGTGGTCTTTTTACCCTAGACCCTCTGTCCCTAACATCCATATTTCTGCATCTAGAATCACCTTTTTACCCTTCAATTTCCTTCTGTAACTTCCCTACTGGATTAGGTGCTGAGGGGTAAAATGGTTATTTACACATTGAACCATTCTTTCTTCTATTCTATAGCTGGCATTGAGGGGTCTGTGTTTCAAACTTTTCCCTTTTCTGCTTTACACAGGACATTGCTTCTTTCACCTGTTACTCATCCACTCTTTTCTGCTCTCCTTTTGTTCCTTCTCTCTCTCCTTTTTTCTACTATTATGAACTGAAAAGAATATACTAGCTATTGTTAGCTATTATTTCATTTGATTTTTGTACTTCGTGGAATTAGTGAGCAGTTCATTTTACCTTTCTTTTTTGTTGTTTTTTATTTTAATTATGCACTATTTTTGAGGGCTTTATTTTAAAAAATTTATTAATTGACTTAAATTTCCCTGCACGCCGCTTTGCAGAGTGCAGATTGCTAGTGCATATTAAAAGTTCAGTCCTTCAACACAATGACAAGTTTACAATCTCTATGTTGTCACAAACGCTTCTCATTCTAGTTGCAAGCCATATACCTTCGAACATTCACAAGATCTCTCCCAAATGTAAAAGCACCAAGAAATTCAAGTAACATGAGAAATCCACCATAATTAACTTAAAAATTAAGCAAATACAACAAAGTCACAAGCAAACATAGAAAACAACCAGTGCCACTCCCAGGAAGCTCTGTGGTTACATTCTTAGATGGTTGTGGTGGTGTTCTAATACAACACAGCCCATGAATACGATCTACTGTTATTATGTGCACCAAATATCAAGAAAAACATGTAAGAAAGACGGGAGAACAGAATCACAACATCAAGGAAAGATCATTTTCCTTTTCAGGTAAATACTTCTTAATAAGTCACTGTGGAGTATAGACAGAGTTCCAAGATGACACAGGAACAAGAGAAGGGAAACCAAATAAAACCATTAATTTCAAATTAAGCTTTTCTTGGGAACACAAGAAAGAACACTTACTTGATCTGTAGCGTGTTATTGGAATATCTTTCAATTCACGTCTTATGCATAAATATTCACCTAGCAAAGCCATAATTGCCAGTCCAGTACCATTGACAACCCACCATGTCATTGACAAAGGCCAACCTCCATACATGATACATACAAAAAGGTGGATAAAGTAGAGGGTGAATGAAAAATCTAAGCACTTCTTTGCTCTTTCAATCAAATAAAGCATATACCCAGCACTGCACAAACAAAAAAAATAGGCAAGTTAACATAAGCAGCATGTAAAAGATGTGCAGTAACATTCTAAAATACTTAAGTATGTTTTACGACATTTCTTTCAATGTTTCATGGATACAAACACTGATTTGATAACAAATTAGAAATGAAAAAGAAAACTGATAGCATATGGAGAAGTAATATTCACACAGTAACAAAATCCATAATGGGTACATGACAAATAATTCACAACCAGCACATCAATTGAACCGGCAGAAATAACAACTGCAATAGTGCATCTACTTGGACAGGGTCAACAACAGCCGTCAAGCTCAAATGAGTAATGGCAGCAGAAAACCATAAATAGAACATGGTGTTCGCTCAATTTAAACAGAAAATCATGAAGTCTATGAAGTCTAACAATCTGAAAAATACAGTTACTTTTAACGTTAACAATTATTCATGATAACAAAAAAAATAAAAAAATAAATAAATAAGAGTGAGCATTTTTGGATTCAAAAGCAGCAGATGGAAACCATCTACACCTATGCATGCATTCAAAGCACTAACAAATTTATGACGCTAAGGACGTGAAAGAAAAAAAGCAAGTTAAAAAACAAAAAAGAGTTCTTGAAGTATAACCATTTACAAAGGATCATCATTCAGTTATTGGGGACAGGGGGAGGAGGGGGTTGTTTATTGGAAAGGTTGAAGTTGAATTATATTCAGTCCCACCCTTTACCATCTTGTTCAAGTAGCTACTCTTGTCCTTGACAGCCCAAGACTTTAACCATGAAAACAAAGCAAAAACAACCATCTAATGAAACAGGGTAAGAAAATAAGACTACATATGGAACAAGATTCTCACCCTGAAATTGCACTGAGTAAAACTGAAGCAATGACACACCACCCAGTTATGGTAGATGTAGTCACTGTAGCAAAGTCAAAGAAATACACCAGGCTCATCCAAGAAATACGAGTCCCCACAAGGATGGACAGGAACACTCCAAGAGTGAGGTAGTATAGGCATTGAAGACAAACAATTTGCGCAACAATAAACCAAGGATCCCATACCACTGCACCATAAAACATGGCTATAAAAAGAAACCCTGGTTTCAAAACACACGAATCCCTTCAATTCAATACCCAGATCAACAACAACTCAAATCCTTGAACCCATTTCTCAAATCCCTCAAAACCAATTCCCTTACACCAAGCCTCAATCTCCACAAGCAAACCCAACCCTACGGTCACCAATCCTCAATTCCTCTCAACCAAGTCGAACAATTGAAGAAAAACAAAAATCCCCCAAAAAATTCGTACACCAACCCAGCTCTTCAAAGCCGAAAGTGCAATACCATTACGCTTGAGGTGCGTGCTCGGCGCGGGAATGGATCTGTTAAACTAACAAATCTTGGGATTAAGAAATCCAAATCCAAATCTGGATCTGTTAACAGGAAATCCGGGTACAACAACTACACTATAATTAAGGCAAGCTTGAAAAAGAAATAAAAATATAGAAAAATAAGTTCAGGCTTCGAGCTAACTGAAACAAAACTTAGGTTTTTTGTTGAAAAAAAAGAGAGGGGGAAATAGAATTGGATACAAAGAAATTAAGAGAGGAAAACTAACCGTTCTGATTGAAGAATAGAGAGTACAAAAATGGCCAGCGGTGTGCCTGAATCAACAACCAGAAACAGGCGACCGCCAGCAGAGAACGATGAGTTGGGAGAAGAACCTGAATTTCTGGTTTTTTAAAATTATTTTCTTCCTTTTTATTTCAGTTCGTTTCTAAAACTTTTTGTGGGTAGAATACCACCGAGACCGCATAGCGCAGTGGATTAGCGCGTTTGACTTCGGATCAAAAGGTCGTGGGTTCGACTCCCACTGTGGTCGTTTCGAGCTTTTTTGTTTCTACCATCATTTGTGCATAAACCATTAAACCTGTTTGGCTATTCTGTCTCACCAGGACCACTTCTTTTTTCCTGTAAAATTTCTTCCTTTTTAGTTGAGTTGTTTCCTTTATGCATAATAATGCATGCAATCAGGACTAAGCAAAACCACAGAACTATGTATCCCCACATCATACAGGAGTAACTGACTTGATTCGAATCATATGCCTCAATGTTAGATTTATACAACAAAAATACAGTGGTTGTATGCACTCTAGCTATAGAAGAAAATGAAGAAGAATAGCTTCTAAGGATATTTGTACCAATGATGACAGTACGAATCTATTAGTGGGAAATATCAAGTTCAAAACCTTATTGGGAGCCAGTTTTTCTTCTTCTGTTTCTCTTTGTGTCAGCAGTCACCTTAGCTTCTGCTTCGGCTTCACCTTTCTCTGGATTCTGATCATTTACAAGGAGTTTTGATGAATTTATTTGATTCCTCAGGCGTAATATCTCACCCTTGGCAGTTGCTAATTCATCTTCAAGTTTCGTTGCTCGCTTTTCCAGACTCTCTCTTTCCTTACCAAGTGTTAGAACAATGTTGTGGGCATCTTCCATGTTTTCTCGAGCCTCTATTGCCGCATTCTTTTGCTCTGTTAGGGATTTGTAGAGTACCATTTTCTCATCTTCAAGACTTGATATTGTAGCATTAGCCATTTCCAGTTCTCTAGAGAGTGACAATGCATTGTGGTTCATCTCATCAAGTGATTTGGTAGCTGCTTCCAGGTCTGTTTCAAGTGATTTTCTTGCTTCCTTGTCCTTCGAGATTTGCTTCTCCAAAGCCTGCAGTTCTTTGTTTAAAGAAGAAACCATCCTCTTCTCTTCTTTTAAATCATTTGCTGTGGCTTCAGCTTTCTTGTAGACATCTACCAATTCCTTTTGTAGGCTATCACGATTTTCCATCACACAAGTTAGCTCATGGCTCATGGTCTGCAGCTCCTCACTAGTTTTCTTTAGAAGTTCCTTTACTGCTTTAAGCTCGCTTGCTAGCACTTCCCCCTTATGTTTTGCTTCGTCAAGGCTCCTCTGCAGTCCATTTCTAGCTTCTTCAAACTCAGCCTGAATCTTAGAAATCTCTGACTCAAGCTCTGCACACAAATTTTCCGATTGCTTTAGTTGCTTGGAAAGTTCAGAAGCCTCATTTCTGGAGATCCCAAGAGCTTGCTGAGTAACTTCAAGTTCCTTTTTCAGACTCTTCACATTGCTCAGTTCAACATTCAGCAATCCCCTAAGGTGTTCCCTTTCTTCAGTCAGATTAGCGACAATTGCTTGACTTTCACTAACATCTTCTAAAACAAGCTCTATCTTTTGCTTTAGCTGATCAATTTCATTTTCTCTTTCCCTCAAAAGCTTAGCATCTGCCACTTCCTTCTTCTCAGAAGATAACTTTAGATCGCTGTACTCCTTCTGAAGAGCACCAAATTCTCTCTTAATGCCATCCCTCTCAACCGTTAAAGAACTTACCCTGGCATTTAATTCATCTGCCAAAGAACTTTTTGATTCTAGTTCTTTTTCATTTTTCAGCAATTCACCTTTCAATCCTTGGATTTCTGAAAGTGCTTTGGCTAGATCATCCTTTGTCTGCTCATACGTAGCATTAGAGTTCTTCAACTCTAATTCCTTTCCAACAAGCGATGAGCTGAGTTTTTGAATGTTATCTTCCCTATCTTTAAGCTCCAAACCAAGCAAGTTTGTTCTTTCCTGCAATGATTTAATTGAATCAAGCTTTTCCTTCAGTTCTTCTTCAAGAGACTTTTTATCTTCCCCTGCCTTTAAGAGGTCATTTTGAAGACTGTCGATTTGAACTTTAAGCTGCTCTATCAACCTCTTCTCATTTTTTACCTCCTGTCCCAAGCCTGTGATAGTTTTCTTAGCTGAATTTAGTTGGTCTATCAAAGACAACTGTTCTTCCTTTGCCTTATTGAGTTCCTTGGTCCTTTGTTCCTGCTCATTTAACAGCTTTGATTCAAAATTTTTCTCAAGTGAAACAATAGCTGCTTCCTTTTCTTGCAATTTGATCTTCATCTGCGCATACCAAACAGTGCAAGCTTGCATTATAAGAAGTCATAAGAAAAAATTATATTTTGACGCAAATCATATCAAATCATCTGGAACTTTGAGATTTAAATTAGGGGGGAAGACACTAAACTCTGGGGAAAGAATGAGAAAGGTGTCAATATTGTCGAAAAAGCATGAGCACCCAAGGAAGTGAACAAAATTTACTTACTTGAACTTCTAATAACTTAAATGAAAAGATCTTTAAAAGATAACTCTTCTGAATACTCAAAACCATCTAGGCAAGACAAGCTAGTACAAAAGTACAGGTACTTGATTTTGATTTTTTAAGGTAAGTGATGGCATACCGATTCTATTGTTGCATCATTAGCTTTCTTCTCTTTCAGAACCAATGCATAAAGTGGACCAAAAATACTGGTACCAAATATTCCAAGGCCATTCAGGAGAGACAGAATGGGATTAGGGGGTGAGCCACCTTCTTCTAACTGTCCAGGAAGAAGTAAATCAACTTAAATTTTAATGATGCAAAATCATGAAGGAAAAACAATACAATTATTAGATTGGATGAGATTATAGAATAAAGTACAGACTCAGACCTCTGCCATTTTTTTCTCCTCTAGTTTGTTTGGCTCACTTTCTTCTGAAACATCAGGAATATATGCATAAGTATTGTTGACAAAAAGTAAAAAAAAGAATATATGCATAAGTATCACATGATGAAGTATCTAGAAAGAAACATGCCAAAGTTACAGAAATGGTGCAGTATCTTTTAAAGCATTATCAAAGTATATTAGCTCAAGAAAAAGCATCGGCACAAGGTTTATGTCAAAAATAAAGGAGTGGAAGCCCTCACAATTTACTTCAATGTGAACAGACTGCTTCAGTTATTTTATTTTTTATTTTTTTGTTGGCAAGCCTTAGTTAAAAGCAGAACTCAAACAAATGACAGGATCTTAAAATGCAGTTATGTCTGACATGATTCGTTCTTTCCACAAGTTAACTTCCATGCTTAAACCTCATGCTGGACACACACAATGACCATCAGTATTATCTTATGTTACATAGAAAGAGCTGAAAAGGAATGCATTTGCATACAAGCACTTGATAGAACATCAGCCTTTGTAGCAAAGAGATTTAACTACCATATCCTCAGCACATCCAATGAGACATTTTTTACCTATGGAATGCAAAACTTTCTTAAGTTGCAGCTTTGGAAGGCACTACTTTGGGTAAATATATGAGAATTTTATTCAATCTTACACCTTGAAGCACTACAACATTTAGGTTACAAATTAACTCTTGCCTTAGTTTCTAAGTTATTGTCTTATTGCAACAAAAAAATTACCAAAAAAATCCTCTCCAACAATATTAAACTTGATACAGCAATGTTGGTCACGCAGGCTTTGACTTCTGCCATTGTCCTGAATAAAATAAATGGGTTGCATGCTAATAGTTTGTTTTTTTGTTATAGCCTACGAAAGTGGATAAGCAAAATATTGTTGCCTGACAATTCACTCATCTTAATTCTGATTCCAAACTGCATTCATTTTAATTGTACCTAATAACAATATAAACCTAAAACCAGACTATCTAAAACTGGAAGATAGCTAGCATGTGAAAATGTCTTCATCCAACCAGCATCGTTTATCAGATGATCCACCTAAAAGATCATGAACAATCAATAGCACAAACAGCTGGCAATACTGAATTAAGGTGAACTCTAAGCTCAAGTAAAGAAAGAGAAACTCTACATCAAATACCACAAATGCCAATAACTTGCTTAAACAATGTAATAATTTTATTATTATGTTCAATCTAGTGACTAAGAGGAACCCAGATAGGAAAAAAAAAAGAGAAAGAAAGAAAGAAAGAAAAAACAGAGAGAACAATGACCAAGCTATAAATTTCCATGTCCCAAAAAAGACCCAATCAAATGGAGGGAAAAGAAAACTGAAAATACCCTTCTAATAAATCCAATGATTTTGATAAAACAAACATTTTCTGTTAATCATTTGTCCATATGTGTGTGTGTGTGTGTGTTAATCATTTGTCCATATATATATATATATATATATATATATATATACACTCTGAAGAAAGCAAGAAATGCCATAACACGCTAACAATTACATACTGCATCAGACAAATAAAAGAGGAAAAGCATAAAAAAATTTTGGAAAGAAAGAACTCAAGCAAGACACTCAGGATACGCAATTCGAAGACAGAACCAAATAAACCCATTTCACGAAATGCCAAAATCTGATTACAGAGGAAGAAGTGAAAACAGGACTCACTTTTGGCCAAGCCTTCAAGAGCTCCGGCCCTCAGTTGCAATAAGGGAAGAACTGAAATACCCACAAGAAGAACCGCCCTCCTCCTATTGGAAATGGCGTAGTTGGGGTCTCCCTCGCGCAAAGAAGCCATTGCTGCTCTATTCCTCCGCTTCTTGGTCTCTGCATTTCTTATGCGCAAGAAAACAGATTGTGAAGGCGAAGAGATGATTTGGGAATGGGGGATGGGAGATTGCAAGAAGCAAGAGCTCCCTACTACGAAACCCATTGGATTTGACTTCCTTTTCCACCGATTCTCTTTGTTTGGAGATGAGAGATAAGCACTGGGGAGAAAGCGGAGAGCTTGCACCTGTGCTATCCTTTGGCAGGCTTCACAAAATGTTAGTTCCAGCCAAATTTTGAAATGACTTGGACGCCCTTCCTTTTTGGTGAAACTACCAACAAATCTAACTGCCTTCAATTCCAAATATCATCTTATTATTATTATTATTATTATTATTATTATTATTAAATTATTAAAAAGGTTAAACCCCCATTTTAGTCTCTCAACTATTTTATGGATCATTAATTTAGTCTCTCAACTCAAAAAATCCATGATTTGGTCCTTATTATTTACCATTTTTATCTTGATTTGATCTTTCCCTTAAAAATCTCGTGACGTGACCTATTAATTCATAACTATATGATGACATGTCAAAATTTAATGCACATGAAAGACAATATGACAAAAAAATGATAACATGGAAAATATAATAATATAAAAAAATATTAATATAAAAAAAAACTTAAAATTTTTTTTTCCTTTTTCCTTTTCTTTCCCCTTGGAACCCAGTGCTTAAGTTTGATGGAACCCAGTGCCTAAGTTTGATGGAACCCAGGTCTTGGGTCCTAAGGGCAAAAAATATTTTTTTTTTGTGGGTTTTGTCGTTTGTTGATTATCAAAAATTAATTGATGAACATGAAGAATTGATTGATGAAGAAGGTAAGGCAAGGAAAAGGAAGGAGAAAGAAAGGGTGCGTGCTGGGTTCAAAAGAACCCAGCATGCTTGGGTTTGAAAGAATCCAAGGGTAAAAAATTTGAAAAATTTATTTTTTTTGTGGGTTTTGTTGTTTGATGATGATGATGAACCCAACAAGAGTAGAAACTAGTTAAGATGAATAGATTGGTTGAAATGTTAGAGATTGGTTAAGATGTTAAGGTCTGTAGAAGTTGAAGAAATGGAAGAGGAAAGAGAAAGGGAAAGATGAAAGAAAGGAACGAAAAAAATAAAAAGGCTAAAAAAATGGATTTGTTTTTTGGTGGAATGAGTTGGAATGGCCATGTCATATATTTTTACCAACTTGTCAATTTTTGTGTGAGACGTAATGCTTTTTCTATCTTCTTTCGTCAATTAACATGAAAAAATTAACAGAATGACCAAATCGAAGTAAAAATGATAAGCAGTAGGGATCGAATTAGAGATTTTTTTAGTTGAGGGAATAAATCGAAGGTCCGTATAATAGTTGGGGACCAAAATGAGGGTTTAACCTATTAAAAATTAAGGCATACTAACAATAAAAGTATTCAAATTTTTATAAAATTTATTTAAATATTTTTAATAAATTTATATATAAGAAAGATTTATTAATAGTATTTAAATTTTTTTTATGAAATTATTTAAAATACTTAATGAATTAACATATAATAAAGATTAATTAAAGATATTTAAATAATTTCATGTGAAATCTTAATATTTTAATTATTAAAATATCTTGATTTTCACTTTTTCTATTACTATTATTATTATCATTCAAAATTTTTATTGTACCGTTTAAATTATATCAAATTACATAATAAATTTAACAAAAAACAAAAACAAAAAAAACTACACTTTAAGAATTCTTTAATAGGAGAGAGTTTCAAAGTCAAGGAATTTATCCTATATCCAAGAATTATTATTATACAATTTAATGCAATTTAAATTGCATATAACCTTATTATTATTATTATCATTATTATTATATTTTGATAAAAAGTACAAAAGTTGCAATATTGTGTTGATATAATCACTTAGGTACAGTACAACATTAAGGAAAAACGAAAATTCATCATTGCAAAAATTAGACTTTACTAGGTTTGATTGTCAATAATAGTTATACTTGTACTTATTAATTTAAAATTATAATTAATAAATTAATTGATATTTATTATATAAAATTAGTAAAATTGATATTTTTAAATGCACCTTAACCTTTGAGCCAACTGGCAGCCTGTCAGCTTGAGGTGCATTCATTCTCTCTTATGGAAGCCCGTCCCTTGACAACTTGTTAAAAAAAATGATATTTTTAAATACTATAATTGATTATTTAAAAAGAATTTTTAAATTAATAAATTCAATCAAAATATTAGTAATTATTATTATTATTTAATAATCATTGTTTAATTCTCCATAACCATAGCTTACATTTACATTCTTTTTTTCTTTTTTCTTTTTTTTGGCCATTACAGTTACATTCATTTGCTCTTCTTATTTTTCCTTCTCCTTTTTGGCTTAAAGATGTAATGATGGTATTTGTGTAATTTCTTAGAAACGTGAGTCGAATTGGATTCACAGTCCAGGTCAGCTGGATTATTGTACCTTCTACCATGGCATTTCTACCAATATAAAAGTGCCAAGTCAGGAAGTGAGAATTTATCCTAAACCAGCGTAGCCTACTTTGCCATGCCGAGTTGTATGTGTCCTTGCATTTACCTTTTCCTAAAGTATCGTCAAGAGAAAATATACCACCCATTGTCCCATTGTCCGCCTGAACATAATCTGTGGTCACAACTCACAAAGACCAGCTTCACCTAAATTGGCCAAACTAAGCAAACTTAAACCGGTTCCACAATCAATTTGGTTTGATTCGGTTCCAAGATTAAGGACATATTTGGTTCAGCTTCCAAGTGTTTCACCTTTTTGATACTATTCATGTTTTATAAGTTTAAATTTTTCTCTTGAAAACTTATATTTTTAAATTTTTATTTAATCTTAAAAAGATTTCAAACAATAAAAGTTCAAAAGTTTTAAATTCAAATTTTTCATAAACTCTCTTTTACTCCTTTTTTCTTATATCTAAAAACAACTTTTAAATTTTTCTTCCAACAAAAATTTAATTTACCACTCGTAAACAGTACAAAAAAAGTAAAAACTCTTACAAGTTAAACCAAACATGTTCTAAATTGATATCCAAACCACTCAAAAAGAATTATTGAATCTTTGACTGTTGAATCCTTTTGGTATACTTGACATATTTTTTAATTAATGAAAATTAAAAAATTATAAATTAAATATCTTATGTTTAAACTTAAAGACAACTAAAATGATATCCACTCAATTTAGTACATGTTCCTAAAATTTTCCTTCATGATATCCATTCAACTTGGTACATATTCCTAAAATATTCCAGTATGCCAAACCAAAAGGCTGTGATTCATATGATAAACCATATTGACTGGTTTAATTGACATTGATTCCCAACTGAATCAACCCAGTTTTCCAACCCCCTAAGATAAATAAATCCATATTGAAAAGGACTTTAAATAATAACTGAACCGATTTAGTCAAGGTGATTAAAATAAACCGACACCAAAGAGTGTTTATGCAACGTTGGTTCCTCACACTCACATGGCAAGTAAGCAGGGGAGGTTGAAAGCTCCTCAACCTAAAGACAAAGATGACTGCATTGGATTTGGACTGCTGGTTCTTGTCTCTTTGGCATAAATGGATGAACGGATGATTATCTTTTCGGTGCTTTTAGAAATAATGGTTTATTATTAATCATAATTACTTACAATTATTATGTCGCCATCTCCCAACAACTACAGTGGTTATTGATTTTAATTATGATTATGATAGCGGCTGGTCCTAAAATATTTTGGCCAAAAAATAGATGGCTCTAAAATATGTTTATTAACAGAGTTATTTCTGTCTTTAGTTAAAGAATATATTCAACCATATTTGAAAATTTGTTGAAGAACTTCCTAGGTTTCTCTAATAAGAAGGAAAACAGTATCACCATATATACTCAAAGAAACAGCAAGACTTGGAAGTTGGACCCGTTTAGAGAATTTCCACGATTTAATCAAGAAAAATGGGATTGCCATTTATTGGTTATCCTTGCACAAAGTAAAACTTGTTATTGGAAATGGATGTCATTGATTATGCAAATGTCAAATACATAGAACAATGTCAACCCTCAAGGACAAAGGTAAGAGAAAATTACAACAAAATAGACAGCTGATAAGCAGGGGTTTCTCACCACTACTAACTCATCACGTCAAAATTATAAGCAACAACAGTCTAATATCATATCTATTTCCCGACTAAATGAAACTCTTTTTATTGTACCAGTACTATCACCCATGACTCACCAATGCCATGAGAGCTGAAACACAATTTTTTATATGCATGATGTGCACTGCGGTCATCCATGGCTGCAAAACAGGTTTAGACAAACAGCTCTTTGAGAACAGATGATCCAGGCATTTAACTTTGCAGCAAGCTCATTCATCAATATTGGCATGGAAGGCTGGGGGAAAGCTATTCTTGATTATTATTAGGTGATGATGGGCAAACCCATCAGGAAGAGATCTTCATGGTAGCTTGGTTCAGGAGAACATTTGGAGGAATTACTGCAGGTTTTCTCCATTTCTTCCAGAGGAAAAATCTCCTCAGAGTGGCAATCAAAACTGCAAAATGCTTTCTCACCTCTGCAACAAGATGGATGAAAGAAGGTTTCAGGAGCTCAACAATGCGAAAGTTGTGAAAACATTTGACTTATACAAACCTGAATATATAAATGTCTTCATCCTTTTCCAGTTTCTTTTTGCATGAGTAGCAGAAACTCAAAAACTCCTCAGAGGGGTAAGTGGTTGAACCCTCCGGAAACTTAGGCAGTGGAGGAAATTCCACCCTGAACCCCAGCTCTTCATCGTCAAAATTGGTCAACTCATTGTGACATTCCAAAATACAGTCACAAAAAATATGAGTTGTTTTGGGGTTTGGACCATGAGAGATTATACAAGTATAGTCCTCTGAGAGCTCTATCTGTTGTGCTGAGAGAGAACAGATAGGAATAGGATGTGAACTAGGTTTAGTTACTGAAGAATCATCAACTAGTGAACCTCTGCCAATTGGCAAAGCTGAACTGTCAACAGGGGTTCCATTCATTAAACAGAAACTTCCAGAAGTCAAGCTGGAGCTTTTAGGAGACTTAATCAGAGAAGAGGGAAGCCTATTGAAATCTGGAAAGCAAGAAGCAGTGCTTCTAACCAGTTTAGGTTCTAGTTGGACTCTCTCACTTTCAAAGACAACACTAGATTCCCCTGATCGGGTGTTGGGAGTTCTGCCTGGGGGAAATGATGAAATAGCGTAGTTCCTAGGCAAAGAATTGGATTTGAAAGAAGAATCAAACTCATGATGAGAATTCCTTGAGGAAATATAAATTTTAGCATTCACCTCTGGTCCAAATATTATATTCTTTCTCCTAGGTGAATCATGATCTCCACAATATGGTTTAAGTTCATCAGCAAGCAAATTCACAATGCCCAGGCCTATCTTATTGCAATCCCACTTCTTTCGGTAGTTAGTTTGGGATGATGATCTAGGAGACCTGACACTGAATGGGTTGCTAAGATTTGCAAAAAGTTTGAAATCCAGAGGAGATGTAGGGCTCCTAACAGAGTCAGAATCTGATGAACTTTTAGCACTAAATCCGATGAGGAAACTGGGAATACTGAAAAGTGAACTGCTTATATGTCTGAAGCCCAATGTATCAGACTCAAAATAGGACTCCAAAGCAGGATCAGCCATTAGATTAACATGCAATCACCTTACCTATGTAATGTGTTCCCTTACTCAGCATTATCCATAGACCTCAATCCTCTAGCAAGAAAACCAACATCTCCTTACTGCATTAGAATTAAAAAACCAATAATGAGTATCAAATAAATTTTATTCCAAAGATACAAATAAAACATAAAAGCTCTCACCAAAGAATGATAACCAGTAACATGCAAGCAAACATCTTTTACTTTTATAATGAAAGAAGGATGGCTCATTTAGCTATATCAATGACAATATTCAATAACAGAAGTGGAGATGTGGAACAGAGGGGACTAAATGCATGATACTGGCTTTCAAAATTTTTAACCAAAAAAGCAGCTCCAACATAAATTAGAATTTAGTCGGCCAAAAAAGGAAACAAGAATGTGCATTTTGGAAGCTCTAGAGAAACAAAACCTCATGAGTCAGGACATACCATACTAGTCTTAACTCAACGAAAATTTGGATTGATTCCTTGATCTAAATAGTAGATGGACCCAAGATCATATTAATATAGCCAAAAAAAAAAAAATCCTTGACATTTCAATCAAAATTTTAAAACAGGAACCTTCTGAGCAAGGATTAAAAGGCAAATGAGGGAGCAGTTGGCTCCCTGACATTCAGTTAACGAGACAAAGCTAAATAAAAACATACAAGAAGCAATTATACAGCAAAGAGTTAAGAGGAAGTGAAGCCAGAACAGATTGAGTATCAACTTCAATTAAACCCATGTAAAGATTAATGAGGAATATCAAAGGATCACAACAAATCAGAAACATCCAAGAAGCATTTAAGCTAGATGAAAGTGTTAATTAAAATTCTCTAAAATCTTCAAAATTCAGGACCAAAAACCGTCAAAGGGAGATGAAAAGAACCTCAAAATGAACAGAAGTTTGATTTTCAATCATCAGTCATCAGTCATTCCAAAAACACCAAAATTTGAAATAATTTCTTCAAATGCATCAAATGGGTACTCCAAATTCCTAAAGCATCAACCTTTAAACTTGATCGCGAGTCACAGGCCATTGCATGCATCAAAATTTATCAGCAAAGACATCCCAAGTCAAACTTAACCCAGATAAATGCAGTAAACCATCTGGCTCTTAATAAAGCCCCAATTTTTTAACTCAATACTAAAGAATCTACCACAAAAATCAAAAATAAGAAAAACCCACCTGGTCTTCTCCTCTAAAAACTTCACAGATAAGATAGGGAGAGAAGAAAAACCAAATGCAAGGGAGACAGAGACATTAACAAAGCGAAGGAGACTTCAAAACTTGCTCTACAAAACACTCATCTCTCTGTATATTTTTTCTTGTTTATTATATTTCAGTTTTTCTCCTCCTCAATGCATCAAAATCAGGGAAACAGGTAAAGCCACTGAGCCTTCTGATATACTCCTCTCTCTCTCTCTCTCTCTCTCCCATGATTAACAGAGATATACGTATTTTTATACAGTAGTCGCGTGTAAAACTATAATAGTATATTCGTGCTTCGGTGCTGAAGCACAACACAGGTTTTAAGAAACAACGCGGAGTTTCTAATGTGTGACACAGACACACCCGAATAAAGTGGACTTTCACTTTAGCCATTAATTTGCCACTCGATGCATCTCCATTGTGCCCTGATGTTGGCCACTGTTGCCGGTTGCCGGTTGCCGGTTGCCGGTGAATTGCAACCTTGGTTTAGGTTTAATACATTTTACAAGTATTATTAA